ATCAAGGACAAAGAGTGAATGGATAATCCTGGGACCGTTTTTATCAACTACGAGGATTTAACGGTATGGCACGGTACTGTTTTTAAGACAATTCACAGGGCTGAGGGAGAGGAAGAATGCCAACAAACGAGGAAGAATAGAAGCTCCAAATCATAAAATGAGAAGGCAGGAACTAGGCCCAATGACAGCAACGCACCTGCGGATCAAGGATCGCCACGAGTGGTTTTCGAGCAGGCAATTCGCCAACAAGCGTTTCCACCCAGGCCGGCGCGGCGACCGAAGAGATCGGATAGAACGCCAGGGTGCGGTTGTGTTTGCAGGCCAGCCCGTCTGCGGGACTCTGGCGCAAAGAAAAGTCTACCAGGGTGTTTGCCGGACAACTCGTCCTTGAGGCAAGATGCTGATGGTCCGCCAGTAAGGTGAGAGCTTTTTCACGCATCTGCGAGACATTGGAAACCCGGGAGGACATGGCTTCAGTTACAGCAAACTCGCAACACGCCTGATGCAGTGAGCCTAAAGTCAGAAATTCATCAACTCCAGTGTATTCGGGGGGAGATGAGGCCTGCGCGCGTAGCCACTCCGCGCTGGTGTTGGTAGACAAATGCGTTAGTAGGAAGGACGCCAAGTTGATCAATTCTACAAAACAAATACGATAAATTACATGAAAGGAAAATAATTGCAGGTTCCAAATTCACGTAGCATGTACCTAGCCAGTCGAAACACGAGAACATTCGAAAGCACGAGCAGGTGTACCGGAATAAATACTCCAATATCAGGTTAGCCGAGGTGAAGCAAATAAAAAATGAGCATTGGGCAGACGGATCTATTAAAAGATATGGGAAAATATAAAAGCAATAACACAGAGGAAGGTGTGTTTCCGGGGAAAGGATGCTTCAAACCATCAGTATGAGGTAATTAGCTCAAAAATTAACCTAAGGAACACTGTGTAATTAATGACCGCTAAATTGTCCTACCCATGAGCTAACGGTGCAAATTACGAATTTGCGTGCCGTAGGCATTCGTACAGTGAATCGGCCTATTCGGCCACTTTCAAATCCATTACACTAAGGTCGGTGAACCAGCCCCAGAGGTCCCAACACGCC